ACGATCTGCATACCAATAAGTGAGATTTGTGAAACAAATGTGCACGAAAAACTCAAGTTCTGGAATAAGACTAAGGTCCAAAGGTCAACGAACTACCAGAACCTTTCCCCTCTTGTGTGCACATTAAAAAAAGTGGTGAAAATGGTAACTCCTGAGGTAGCCCTGACATGTTGGTCCGCTACTTCCATGTCCAAGTTCCGCACTGCCTCATTATAGTTTTTTCAACAACAACAAAAATGTCACTAATCCAGTTAATCAGGGTTGGATCAATATTCATGTCTAACAGCAGGGTCATGAGGCAGTCATAATGGAACACGTTTGCATGCTTCCTCAAGATCACTGGCTTCTGTAGCCAGCCTGGAAGCCCTCATAGCTGCCATAAGCAAACACAGCGGCATTGGTTCAGCGTGTCCATCCTTGGTTGATATCTTCTAAGGGTGGGGGGGGGGGGGGGGGAGAAGCTCCTCAGCCTCTAAGATCCTGAATAATTTGTGCACCATGATCTTTTCAAGGAGATTATTTATCATATTTTGCTTGGTAATAAATAATCATATAGCCAATTATCCTGGCATGGTACTTGCAGGTCCTATGTACAGATCTGAGGTAACTGTGGAGCTTGCCAGCTTGGACTGATCAATTCCTGATGCTGTTATTGTATAAGTTGCACAATTTTGCTAGCACACTGTCTCCCATGATTCATTATGAAATCGGTCCCTTTAATGAGACTGCTAATGTAGTCAGGTTTACATGAATGTCACTCTTTCTCATTTTCTGTCCTTCTCTTTATGGTCTCTCTGATGTAAGTATCAGTTCAGAAAGACCTCCCCCTTTGCCTGGTCTGCCATGGAAAGTAAAGATCAATAGTGTGATGCTGGCCATAACCCTTACAGTGTTGAGCGGTTTATAAAATATAGGTACAGGCTGTAGTACTATATTCACCATGCACCACTGACATGAAAAGGGTCAACATAATAAGACAGACATAATATTTATGCCTCCTCCCATCTACATTTTCAAAGGGGAAAGAGAACTCTGCAAAGTTCCCATGAAGGCAACAATTTTATACCAGGTCTGATTAAATGTCTTTACTCCAACCTCACTATGACTGGTTGTGGCCCAAGCAACAAAAATGTTGTTACAAACAAGTCATGAAAGACAACATACCTCTTCTTGCTGTCTTTTATTAAAAAACAAATGCCTACACACACACAAAAGCAACGAAATAAAAGAAATGTCTGGATAATTGTTTGTACCAACAGGTATAAGAAAAAGATGAAAATAAACTGCAAACATCGTTAGGATAAGTGGACAAATAATCACAGAACAGGCGCTGACATGGGAAACAAATTGGGCTGAGGAAGGAGGATGTCCAAGGAGGTACCTTAAGAAGAACGTTGAGAGAGACCAGTGTGCTGGACTGGATGCCCTAAGAACAATGAGAGAGACCAGGGTGCTTGACAGGATTCCATCCAAAATATTGAAACAACTTTACAGGACAGAATGGAATGTTCTTGTCTGCTCTGTGTACCCTATGTGATGTATAACTGAACAGCAGGATGTGACATCTTCAATCAGATAAACCCCATATTAAACCCTTTGTTATTATTAATTTAACTACTACTATACAATAGTGTCTCAACTGAAATCCTTCAAATGTGATTACTAACTGCTTATAAGCTCAGCTAACTAAGATAGAAAGGGTTAAAGTAACAATTGTGTGAGGCCACAACAGTTAAAATATAAACTGTGTACATTCCCCCTTCACAACACAGAAAAAAACAAGACTTACCGTAATCTGCAATTGAAGCGTCACAGTCCATGGCGACACTCATTGCTTCAGTAAGCTGGAAATATTAAACAATGAAAAATCTTAACAAATTTGTTTAAGGGAAAGACAAAAGTAACAGACATTTGTAAATAAAGTCAAAGAAAACTAAGACTAGTTATTTAGGTCTAATGCACAATCAGTACTGTTGTGCAGTGTTGAAAATGGAGAATAAATAAGACCATTTGTAGTAAACTATAAACACCCATTAAAGTGTAAAGTAAAGGACCCTTTTCCATGCTTTCAGGTGTGTTGGGCATCTAGGGCTAGACTTATATTAGGTAGGCCGTAGTTTACAGGAGAGCCACTTTTTTTAAATAGTATCCAGAAGCCATAAGTTGTTAACCCTTAGGGTCAGTATTATGGATATCGCAACCCTTCGGCCTTGATTCCATGATAAATACCGTAAATCTGGGAGAACTGTGGCTTTTCTGCCTACCCCTGGGCGTGAACCCCGACCACTAGGAGTTCGTCACCCAGTCTGGTTTAGCCAACTACGTTAGTGAGCCTGGTGGATTAAACTCTGAAGGTTACCTCTTAACCATTTTGTGCTGCCCCAATATAAATATACTGAATACTGAATTAAAAATAGACATCACAAAATATAATGAATGTTGAATGAAAAATCACAGAACCTTGGACACCCCCATAAGTGCTTGGTCCCCATCCTCAGCAGCAAGTGAAGAGTTATGATTCCGATGGTACCAGTGACTGTCTGATTGTATATCAGTCATGCTCTTCCCCTGAGTTTATATATACACATACATACTATATTGCCCTGCAGTCCAAGATGTGTAGCTCATTCATGAGACGTTATTAATCCTACAGAATGCAAATCTGGAACAGAGAAACTCTCAGAAACTTGGATTGCAGTTCTTATTTTGTTTATCAACGAATTTCTTTCTTTTAGTATGCTACGTGCACTGCCAGCAACTGAGTCATTATCAGTTAGTAGTAACAGTCTCTCACTTCAGTCAGTTAATAATTATAATAATAGTACCCGGTTAACAAAGATAAGAAGGGGTCACTTAATGAAAACACTTGGAGCTTCTTTGAGTTGACATTGTTTTACGTTAGATTACACTAGTAGGCTATCTTATGAATAACGGTCCCAAATTATCGAGGCTAAGAAAATACCCTAATTGGGCCTCAGTCATATATAAATTGCAGACCTCTGTCCTGCGACTACACCATATACAGCGGAAAAGCTTTTACTCGTGCGGCACGGGGCTAAACTAGATGGTTGGGACTCACCGCATCTCCTGCAGCTTCCTCCATTTTATTTGCTCGTGAGTTATAGCCATCTAGTTTAGCCTCCCCCCCCCCCACCATGCATAGCAGCGCTGGGGATACTCTCGGAAGTGGCAATATAATTGCAGGAAAGAGGTCCGCAATTTACATGACTGAGGCCCTGTTAGGGTATTTTTTCAGCCTCGATAATTTGGGACCGTTATTCAGAGGATAGCCGACTAGTAGTTTGCTTACTGTAGCGGGTTTTACAATTATATAGTTTTCTTCACAGAAGAAACATTTACCAAAGTTGTCAAATAGCTAAAGTTATGAAATAGTGCCAGTAGTAGTAGTACTGTACAGCACCAAGGGACACAATAAAACCTTACTACAACAACGCCAATCCAATAATCAGCAAGCCCCATTCATTTTCTTATGTACAGACTAATTATCATCTTCTATTCTGTTGTTGCGCTGAGACTCTGCTATCTGTAATATTAACATAATTCGTAACAGGCTGTAACTACAACCAGTAACACAACCAGTACCTAGCTGGAGTAGTTAACAAAGACGAGACCGAGAGATATGAGGTCAATGAGAAGTTATGAAGCTACCTTATTATTAACTTATCAGAAGTTATCACTTTATTGAGTTTAGCTTACCGTACTGTTATTTGGTTTTCAAAATATATGGTATTCTTCACAGCGGGTATAATTTATCAACGCTGTCAAACAGCCAGCCGAAATAACATCCACGGCCAATGGAGTGACTACAGATGGGATAAAACAGAACTTTTCATAAACAACTAGCAAGACCCGTCTTTGACTAACAGTCGAATCAGCCGCTGTACATCATTTGATCAGCAACGAGAGATTTGATTGGCTAAAAACCAAGCGGCAGCTTGCTTGCAGAAATTTTATTGGTTAATATCTCAAGTGGGAGTGCGCAATAACGGAAATCAGATCTGGTTCCTGTTTACATTTTCAATTTTCTTCAGATAAAGTCTCGTTTTACCATCTCTTCTTGATTAAATGTATGTTACTCAATAACTGTATATGGAATGTTGTTTTTGTTGTCGTGTATCATTCACTATCCCACGTACCATTTCTGTATCGCAACTGAATTTCCAATCGAAATAAACTTTAAAAAAAAATTATCATTTATAATAAAAAAAAATTATTTTAACATGTTACCGGAGGCTGGAATTAAAACTAATTAAAACATCTTTCCTCTCGAGGACTGAGACTGCAGCCTGAAAGACCGACAGTCAGTGCCATCCTCACAGAAGCTTATAAAAACAGCTATATCGGGGCACCCTACTTTACCAAATAATCTGCTGCCCACTGTTAGTCGGTAATATTAATTCGAATACTAGATATGGGAGTACCGATCGTCACAGCCAAGCATGAGAAGCACACCGGGCGCAAAACACGAAGTCTTGTCAACCAGCATAGGACTGGCACTATTAACCGCACAACGCTGATGAATAAGTTGAAGGGGGAATCTGAGCACTTATAGATGTGTCCGGAGTGCTGTGAAGATAATCCAACTCATGACAGTAGTAATTACCGGAGAGTGCACACTTACATGCTTTAGGGGAGGGGGGCGGTGTAGATTAGATCCACGGGCTGCTAGTTTTAAAAGCCCTGCTGTAAAGGATTAACTCTTTAAGGTCCAAACAACGGTGTGAGCGTAGTTTGAGAAGTTCTGTTCTGCCCAAACGACAGTGTCATCGTCGATCGTGTCTCCACTACATTTTGCTTTGCACACGCCCCCTGATTAGTTTCTAATGTTTGGAGGTACAAATAAACTATTCAGGGAAAGTCACTCTGTCAAAATCCTTTTAGTTTGACTTCCTGGACTAAACCACACGTGAATAATCTGAGAGAAAAGACAGCAAAATTTTTTTTCTACAGTTCATTTTCTAAGTTCGTTTTTGAGTACCATGGATACCAGTGTTCCAACCACAAGTTCAGGTCGCAGAATGCGCCTTTCTGCGGCCGAAGCTCTGAAATTGTTTCAGTCAGATGTTTTTAATTCTGATAATGAAAATGAAAATTTAGATTTTTCGGAAAGTGATTCGGACGGTGAATTTTTACCAGCGGCAGCTGAGCGATCAGCTGTTATGGAATCCAGTAGTTCTGATGAATCTGATACAGAGAATGTTCCATTGTTACAATATTTAGGATGTAAGAGAAGGAAAGTGCTCCAAACAAATAGAAAGACCAATTCTGGTGAAGGATGGGAAAGAGTCGAGGATGGAGTTTTATCCAGAACTTTGAATACTTTTCGCTTTAGTCCCAAAACAACTCCAGGGGTGAACCCTGAATTGGTGTCTGAAAGCTCAACTCCTCTTGATTGCTTTCTGGCACTGTTTGATGATGAAGTACGGACTTCTCTGTTGGATGCAACAAATACGTATGCCACATTGAAGAAAACACAGAACAATTCTGCTCGCAAACATTCTGTCTTTGCGAGCTGGAATAATCTTGGAATTTATGAATTGTATAAATTCAGTGCGGTGCAGATGGCAATGGGAATCTGCAAGAGGCCGAGCATACAGGATTATTTCTCCACACGAAATGTTTTTAGCACCAGTTTTTACTCACAGACCTTCAGTTGGAACAGATTTCTTAGCATTTTCCAAGCAATGCTTCATGTGGGAGAGCCTGATGCTGATGGAAAACTGAAAATTGAGCCCTTCATCAACAAACTCCTTGAAAAGTTTCAACTGGCTTTCACTGCCTACCAAGAAATTGCTATTGATGAAATGATTGTTGGTTTCAAAGGAAGATGGCAGTATAAGCAATACAATGCCACAAAGCCTTCCAAGTATCACATCAAGAGCTTTGGCTTGGTAGACAGTAAAACCAGTTATGTTGTCAATCTGCTGACATATTACGGAAGCACCACATCGTACAATCCAACAAATGAAAATGAAAGCAGCCATTCTATACAGGTCTTCGACACATTGCTAAGGCCTCTAGGAACTGCATATCATATCTTTGCAGACCGGTACTACACAACAAGAGTGCTCGTTGACCATCTTCTGAAACAGAAGCAGTATTACACCGGAACTGTTCAGCGTGGCCGCGTAGGGTTTCCGCAGTGGAATGATAAACTGCAGCATATGGCATCAGAGTATTTTTCTAATTCCACAAGGTCAATGCTGGCAGTCAGCTGGAAAGATAAGAAGGCTAAGAAAACCTGTGTTGCTTGTTTCCACCAATGCATCAGCTGGAGAAGCAACAAATGCAAAAGGAAAGCTCTAGCCTAGTGTCATCGACACATACAACAACAAGATGAACGGTTGTGACGTAGCTGACCAACGTCTCGGGTACTATGGCCTGCACACCCGTAAAACGAAGCAGTGGTGGAAAAAGCTCTTTCAGTGGATCATGGAAATTTGTTACATCAATGCATATGTTCTGTATAAGGAAACCAGGCCAAGAACAACAAAAATTCCACTGAAAGACTTCAAGCTCAAGCTGATTGATGAGCTACTCATTGCAGCTGCTGAGTCAATGCCAGAACCAGGAACCATAGTTCCCACGAGATGAGGTCGCATGTCAAGCACCCCAGTCCAGCGTCTTCAACCAGGCATGCATTTGGTTGGTTATGTAAAGCAGGACCGCCGATGTGCAGTGTCTAGTACACCTGCTAAACCTAGGAGGACCAACTACATCTGCGAAGGATGTGATAGTCTACCACATTTGCATCCAAAGAACTGTTTCAAACAGTACCATACTGTGGCTAAGCTACATTAAAACCATTGCAGCTACAGTCTGTATATATTTGTACATAGTAAATATTGTGTGTAGTAATGATTTACTTTTCAGCCATTTTTTGGCTGAAATATTTTTTAAGCACTCTGTGAGAACTTACACCCTCTGAGTGCTAAATTGACCCAGGAACTTATCAAAACTTTAGAATTTGTTAGGAAATTGAACAAACTTTAAAGTGTTGTTCTCATATTTGGATATTCACTTCCCTTGTGGCTGCAAAACCATGGTAAGTGAAGAATTTGTTTGTGAAATGTTGTTGTTGTGAAATTTACACCTGATGAATTCTTCTCTCCTACTAACTATAACAAAATTAAACAAACACTTATTCTCAGATTCAAAATGTACATTCATTTCTCTTTAAAAAAATATATACTTTTATAGGGATTAGAAGTATATTACATTCTCTATAGCCTTTCTTGCACACCTACCCCTCTGCCATTTTTTTTAAGGGAAATTAATGTGGGCCAAGTCTGTCAAAATTCATGGGTCTGAAAGAGTTAATCCTCTGGAGGTGGAGCCTTTTTGGAATTTCAGTGCCAAAAAGACGCCTTCAGGAGGGGATTCTCATAGTTAATACACAAAAAATTATAAAAAATAAAGCGTTTAACTCTTTGAGTCCCAAGGAACGCATCATACGTTCACAGGTTACTGCCTAGAAGCCCAATGAACGCATGATGCGCTGATTTTACGTCTCTTTTGACTACCCCTTGGGCCTGTGATGCTAAACCCTCTGGGACTCAAAGAGTTAATTAACATAAATATATGTTTGTTTAGGAAATTGAATGAGCTAACAGAATATTTATGAATCAAACTGAAATCTCAACATTTATTCAGATTAACTCTTTCAGGCCCATAAATTTTGACAGACTTTGCCCACATTAATTTCCCTTTAGAAAAATGACAGAGTGATGGGTGTACAAGAAAGGCAATAAAGAATGTAATATACTTCTAACCCTAATAAAATAATATACATTTTTAAAGAGAAATGAATGTACATTTTGAATCTGATGATAAGTGTATGTTTATTTTTTTTTTAGTTAGTAGGAAAGAAGAATTCAGCAGGTGTTAATTTCACAAAACATTTTACAAACAAATTTTTCACTCACCATGATTTTGGCTGTGTGGTGTCCTTACTGGGAGGGACAGAGGAAGACATACAGTCACGCCTGAACAAAGCTAGAGCTGCTTTTGGAAGGATGAGGCACATCTGGAAATCCAACAATTACTGCAGAGAAACAAAACTCCGACTCTACAAGAGCATCATTTTGCCAGTTCTTCTTTATGGAGCGGAATGCTGGAGAATGACCAAAAAGGATGCACACAAGCTGTCCACCTTCCACTGCACATGTCTACGTAGAATTATCACAATTTTCTGGCCAGATACAATCTCAAACACTAAACTACTTCAAGCCTCAAACCAAGAAACTTTAGACAGTATGATTACCAAGAGAAGATGGAAATGGCTTGGCCACGTTATGAGAATGACTTCTGAAATACCTGCCAAAACAGCTCTCACATGGACACCAGAGGGAAAGAGAAAACAGGGGCGCCCAAAAACAAAATGGAGACGAATGATGGAAAGTGACCTGAGTGCAGCATCTTTGACATGGAAAACTGCACTGAAGATTGCACAGGACAGGAAAGCATGGAAAGTCCTCTCTGAAGCCTCATGTGCCACCAGGCATAACGAGAACTGGTGATGATTTTGCAGCCACACGAGTAGTGAATATCCAAATTTAAGAACAAAACTTCAAAGTTTGTCAATTTCTTAACAAATTCCAAAGTTATAATAAGTTTCTGGGTTAGTTTAGCACGCAGAGGCTCTTAGTTCTCACAGAGTGCTGAGAAAAATTTCAGAGAAAAAAATGGCCGAAAAATTACACACACGCTATTTACTATTTACTTTGTACAGTTATATACAGACTGTAACTGTGATGATTTCAATGTAGCTTAGCCATAGTATAGTACAATCTCAATGTTTAGAGCACTTTCCTTCTCTTACACCATAAATACGGTAGCAATGGGACATTGTCTGAGTAATAAACTCATCAGAATCGTTAGATTCAGAACAGCTGATCACTCAGCTTCGCTGGTTAAAATGCCCTGTCCGAATCACATTCCGAAAAATATAAATTTTCATTATCATTATCAGAATTAAAAACATCTGACTGAAACATTTTCAGAGCTTCGGCCGCATTCTGCGACCTGTACTTGTGATTGGAACATTGGTATTCATGGCACTCGAAAACGAACTTAGAAAATGCACTATTGAAAAAAAAATTTGTTGTTAATGCACGTGTGGTTTAGGCTAAGAAATGAAGCTAAAAGGATTTAGGCAGAGTGACTTTCCCTGAATAGTTTAATCTTACCTCTGAACATTAGAAACTAGTACAGAAGCATGTGCGAAGCAAAATGTACGGGACAAACGATCGATGATGACAGCGTTGTTTAGGCAAAATGGAACTTCTCAAACAACACTCACACTGTTGCTTGGGCTTTAAAGAGTTAAATTATTTTGCATAATTTATGCAAGCATTTAAAAAAAAACTTGGGAACAAGCATGACTAACCTAAAAAAATGTGGGTGAATTTTTTTGCTGCTGGATGAAGCATGAATAACATTTGTGTTTTGGGAAGTAAGGCCCTTTAGACACTTCTGGCACATTGTTCTACTTTTTTTTCTGCCTCCAGCTATATTTCAGTTGCTATGACACAACACTCATTTTCGCCATTATTGGGCACAGGTAACCTTCGAAAAAAAATTATTTAAAATTACCAAACACATCAAACTTTCTCAAAAGGCGTTAATGAACAGCCCACATATGCCAGAAATGTGAGAAGCAATCTGATTGGCTGTACAAAAACCTGCCAGCCAATCTCAAGGCTTGTATTACATAGGGCCCACAGATCGTCCCAGTTGTCCTTTTGGCTACTTTGTGTCGGACCGATATTTCGGCAGTGTCATCTCCAAAGGGTTGGAAAAAAACATTGGAGTTATCAAGGACTGTTATTCCCTCAGTCCATGATGGACTCCATCGTTTTCATGGTTGGCCTTTAATCTGATTCCCAGTTGGTCTATACATCATTCTTATTTCTAAGTGGAGTCAGTGGAGGCAAAATAAATTTGTTGTTACATGACAATTCCATGTAGGTTCATAGCAAAAGCAAATGGACGTCACTTAGTGCAACAAAGCTTTTTTTATGATATAAAAACATGTATAGTTTGAGGGTGGAGGCAGTCACTGCTGCTTTCTGCTGGCTTGAGAATCAGTTGTACACACATGCTGTGATTGTAACTGAGCATATTGAGAAAGATGGAAAATGTGAGAAGCAATCTGATTGGCTGTACAAAAACCTGCCAGCCAATCTCAAGGCTTGTATTACATAGGGCCCACAGATCATCCCAGTTGTCCTTTTGGCTACTTTGTGTCGGACCGATATTTCGGCAGTGTCATCTCCAAAGGGTTGGAAAAAAACATTGGAGTTATCAAGGACTGTTATTCCCTCAGTCCATGATGGACTCCATCGTTTTCATGGTTGGCCTTTAATCTGATTCCCAGTTGGTCTATACATCATTCTTATTTCTAAGTGGAGTCAGTGGAGGCAAAATAAATTTGTTGTTACATGACAATTCCATGTAGGTTCATAGCAAAAGCAAATGGACGTCACTTAGTGCAACAAAGCTTTTTTTATGATATAAAAACATGTATAGTTTGAGGGTGGAGGCAGTCACTGCTGCTTTCTGCTGGCTTGAGAATCAGTTGTACACACATGCTGTGATTGTAACTGAGCATATTGAGAAAGATGGAGACAGACATGCTCGGTGCAGAGTGGCAAGCAACAGTTCAAAGGTCCTGGGTAGTTAGCGTCCTTTAGATATTTTCTCTAGGTCATGCTAGTGTGTTGGGAAATGAGCAGGCAGATATACTGACCTGCTCTGCACCACTTGTTGATGAATTTAAATAGGACAAGCTAGATATTGTGAGGGTGCTTTGGGAGCGAGTGAACAGTGCAGAAGCACCAATAGATGATTAGGGTCTGAGGAGAATGGCGCTGGGAGGAGTTACCGGGGAATTTGGCAGATGCTCAACATTCAGGGGAAGGGTGAGACAGATATGCAGTCAGTCAGTTACTGGTGCCGTCAGAATTGGAACTCTTCGCTTGCTACTGAAGATGGGAACAGAGCACTTATGAGAGTGTCTATGATGTTTATTCTTAATTCAGCATTCAACATATTACCACCACAGAAGATAGCTGTTTGTGGAGAAAATGGATAACATGCTGTTTAGCGTAGCATATGTTGAAACCAGTCTTGTTGATATGTTCCTGATATATGGAGAATCATACCGAATGGTTGAATTTACTTTATTACTGAAGAGTGACAAGAGCTGAAATATTGAGTAAAGTGAGAATTTTAGTTGCTTTTTATTCAGAGATTTATGTACTGCTGTATCATATTGCTATTTTGGTTATTGTTGTTTTGATATAACATTTACTAAATCCGCTTCTCAGGTCAGCTTTAACATACTGCATTGTCTTTGTTATGCAGGAGTACATTTTCATTACGAACAAAAGGGCTAATGTCCATCATTTCTTGACTAGGGTGAAATATGCCATCTTGATCTTTTATTGTAAATATTAATGTCTCCTGCATTGTGAATCACACTAGGTATGCTCAGGAAGGAAGCAGACTTCAGAGCTCTAAGCCTCTACACCCTTAATATGTGATATATACTGCAGTTCAGCATAGTTTTGTCATAACATTTCCAAAACATTTCTACTCTAATGTTTGTTAAATTTTTTTTTTTTAATAAACAAAATCAGAAATAAAATATTCAGAGAGCATGATGGGTGAAGACATCAAGAGGTTCAAGCTGAGAGAAGAAAAGCATACAGTTGCTGAGATTGAGCTGATGGCCTGGTCACCAACAATGGATCTCTTAGCTCTGGCTAATGTTAATGGCGAGGTAAATTTTGTTTTTAATATCCATCTTTAAATTTTTGAAAATTTTTCTCTTCTCATTTCCATTTTTTCTGTTGCTGTATGCACAAAGAATGATACACACAATGTTTGTGAAAGTATACAGTCACTACGGTAACTAATGGTGATGATGTATGGTGACATGTAAATATTGTGAAAAGGGCACCTGAGGAAATTAATGTTTCCCTCCGATTCCTCGGTAGTGCATTTTATGCCTTGCCTCCTCAGACAAGGACAGAATAATTTGCCATTTTCGATAAAGGATCCATCAGAAGTTGGGAATTATAGATTATAAGCTGTTATTGACTTCATGGCACAGCATAAACAAAATTAGAAAAGCTGCTGTCAATAAAATATTATTAGACATATTTTATGTTAATATCTAAAGTATGAGAAACAGCATCCTTATTGTTCCAAATAATAATAATAATTATTATTTAAGGACTATATGATATGTCAGAAACCTTCTTTTTTTCTTTTGTTCGCTTGAAATAGATTATCTGTATCTACAATGTTGTCTCGTGTATGAACTTCACTGAAACACTGAAGCAGGGCTTATGGAGAGAACTAAACAAATTTCTGCCAGTCAAAATATCATGAAAAGATACTTATGTTTTATTTGATGTACATTGAGAAAACTTATTAATAGTATAGCTAGAATGTCATATTGCTGGAACTCACAGGGCAACAGAAATATATCAAATTCTGAAAACACCCGCAAAGAGAATTATAGACATAGGTGAATAATATATTGACGACATGGATGGAGCTGCAGGAGATAGCAAAAGATGAAAGGGCTTCTCCAGAAGTTGCTTGCAATGCTTCATAAGACTCAGATCAGGAATACATGGATTTAGTATCATAGATATTCTGGTGTGTGTGGTCATGAACATGCTGATAGATTGGCTGCTGCTTCTATGAGTGTAGAGCTACCTTATGATAAAGCGGACATCAGTGCACCAGAACAGACAATATTATCCATAAATTGAAAGATTAATTAAACAGGGTTGTGAGACAGGACCATATGGTGAGCATATGTTCTGGATATTTCAACACTGAGGGTAAACAGACTTTTAAAAAGATTGCTCCATGTGTGGTGATGTCAGTTCATTCATTTATTCATTAAATGAGGGTCTGTAGCCCATTAGATAATTTAAGAAAGAACAAGAAGAGCTTGAGTGCAGTTGCAAAGCCACAGTTTTAATGGCGGGTTACAACAAACAAAATGTATGAGTTCAAAAAAGTGGTCGGACATGAAACATTAATACGATAATGTAACGAGAAAAGTAGGTAGGTAGGTATTTTTGCCCCATCAAACAAAGTGCCACCATGCAGATGAGGATCACCCTTGGAGAGGTCCCAGAAACCCCTTTCAGCCATTAGGTCATATCTATGGCTAGGCCTTATCTATGCCCAGACTATATTCAGGGCCCCTGGCAGAAGCCAGGTGGGGCTTCAAACAAAAAATTGCATTCCGCATGAGGACGAATTTAGTTAATAATGAGAAATTAAACATTCTGCTTTTAACTTGATAGTGCTTATGATTTGAGAAGGGAGATAAAGAAAGCAAAAGTGACCGATTTTTACCTGTGTTTTAGCGAAGTGTCTTTTCTTTCACTCAAAATATATTCCTCAAATAGTGGTCAGCTCAGAAATAATTTTCTAAATGTGAAACCCCTAATACAATTACCTTTGCTAATATTGGTTGTGACAAATCTAATTTAAATAAAGCATTTTTCTTTGCACTTGCCAGGTTCTTGTCAACAGGCTTTCCTGGCAAAGAGTTTGGTCATTATCTCCACCTTCAGAAGGGGAGAAAATATGTGGACTTGCATGGCGACCAGATGGAAAAGGTAAACTGAACCAAGAGGCATAACATTATTTTCCTCCTCCTCCTCCTTCTTCTTCTGCTGCTGCTGCTTTTGCTGCTTCTGTCCTTTATACCCAATACCATTATTATGTAATGAATGGGACAAAGGTCCTAAACCAGCTCAAACCAAGTTGTTCTATCCTTTGCCATGGCATGCAGCTCACCCCTTGTCCTTTCCCTCTTTTTAACTTCCCTGTCCTATTCCCTTCTTCCTATGTTTTTATTTTGGTCTACATTTATTTCTCTGCACCATAGGTTCCAGTGCAAAGCCTTTCTATTTCTGTTGTTCTCCATTTTTTTTTAATTGTCTGTCCAATCCAATGCCGACATCTTGTTTTCACCTCTTGATTTACTAAAATGTGTTTAGTTCTTTGCCAGAGCTCAACATTAGTTATTCTATCATAGAACAGTGTTACACGTAATTAATAAGATATTTTTACTGTGTCTTTCACAGTGATTGCTGTAGGCTATTCATCTGGTGTTGTGAGGATATGTGATGTGGAAAAGGGTGACTTGGTCTACGTGGGCAGTGTCAGAGGAAGTGTCACATCATTGGAATGGGTGGAGCAGTCAGAGCACATGAACCAAGGCCCAGAACACTATGCAGAAGATAACTCATCAGATTATTTACCTGTATCACAGCAGCTCACTTCCCTGTAAGTATAGTTTGTTGTCTGGCCTGGTATTATATTGTTTGGTGAGGCCTGTAGATCTTGTTAAAATATTTGTACCATTGCATTTTCCATCTTTTCACTGTTTTTGAAAAGATTTTCATAGTTGCCAGTATGTTGAGTAAAGATATGACAAACTTCATCATTTGTGATGTAGTTTATATGTAATACCTAGGATCATTTGAGAAAATCTGATTTCTAGATGCTCATATTTCCCTTTTAAATTTTGATGTTAAAGTTTAAACATGTTTGCCATATGTAAAAGAACTGATAGATCGTCTTATAAGCAGTCATATTTTTGATTTTCTTAAGATGTTTTTGGATCTCCATAGTACTTTCTTCAAAGGCAGAACTGGTCACTTGCTCACTGGTCACTTTTGTACCAGCTCATAACCCTGTATGTACTATTGCTAACAGGCCTGATTTCTCTGGTCCCTTTCAGTTCTGTGTAAGTACTATTGCTGTCAAACCTGGACTCTCTTGTACCAGCTCAAATCCCAACATATGCTATCAACGTCAGGCATGATCCTTTTTGTACGTTCTTCCCTGTATGTACTTTTGTTGTCAAACCTGGACTCTTCTTGTGCCAGCTCAGATCCCTGTATGTATTCTTATAAACATATGACAATTGTAAATTGATAAGATAGTTTTTCATTACTGATTGTATTTACTATCTTTTAGGGCAGTGTGAAAAAAAAGGGGGGGGGGGGGAGTGTTGAGTCTTAGCATATAAGTCCTCATGGTTAGGTCGACCATTATGAACTGTACAGATTGTGATTTTTATTTTTGCCTCTGACAAAAAAAAAGACTTCCATCACTTAAATGAGTATTTGAACACTGGTCTCCTGCATGAGAGCCTAGTGTTTTAACAATTCACGCAGCCACTCCTTTTTTTCTATTTGACTTTGATAGTCAAGATTTTGTGAACATCTTCTTCTTCTCCTTCTCCTTCTTCTTCTTCTTCTTCTTCTTCTTCTTTGTTCACTGACTGTAAGCTCCGGTGGATAGTCCTGGTTGTTTGGAGATTTTGCTTTGTGCCCGGGTCTGAGTTTTGCATGTACATCCGTTTTACTGGCTGATTTGTTTGCAGTTGGTAGTTCCTTGCCATCTCAGGCAGATGCACTTCGACTTCAAAGCAAATTCCCCAGTTAGTTGAGTCCAACGACATGCTTGTTGGGAAGGCAGTGGGTCTGTTCTTGTTTTCCCCAAAAGTGGGGGTATTAGGACATTTAATAAGCAGGAATAAACTTGAACATTTTCTTGTCAACTGATAAATATTGTGGAGTATGAAAGGGTCTCGGATTAAAACCTTAATAGTTGACGGCCATCTTTAAACTGTCATTATGATGTCACTAGGTTGACAGAGACTTGATAGGGTACCAGGTACAGTCCTGGGACGTAAAGGTGGCCGGCGTGATGCTGACCGCATGCACTGTATGCCCGATATGCCTGAAGGTGTGAAAAAGGGTCTTTTACTTGTTTTTTTACTTGAATGATGTCAGTGTGTTTGTCTGCATTGTGATGTCACGGGCTTAACCCTGTTGACATCCTTAATAATAGTATTGACAAAATACAAGACAGTGGCCTGGTTATTGCAGTTTCTTTGACACTTTTGAAGTTTTCATTTGAAGCCCTCTCATAAAAACAAGGAATTTATATTATGCTTTATGAATTTGAGTTAAGAACCATCATCTGCCCGTGTGTCCCCGGGGCCGTCAAGGGAAGCAAAAAAATAGTAACACTGGACCCAAACAGGCGTGTCGAAAGAGGCAACTAAGGGAAGGGTTGGGCTTAAGGTTGGCTACTTCTTCCTGTAAAAACAGTAGCCACAAAAAACAAGCAGTCATGGAAAAGTAAAGTAAGAAACAAGAAAAACCCAGCCAGCCAAGATGAAGGGAGGCTCTTCTAGTAGAAGAAGTATGACACAGTTTAGAGAAAGCCTAAAGGAGTCCGGATTGTTGATGTATCTCCTTTCACCTAAGAAAACTTCAGAATTGGTACCTGGTATGTTAGAACAATAGAGATTAAACAAAATATGATTAGTATTTTAGGATTATGTGAAACTAGATGGACTGGGGCGGAGAAAAATGTTCTATTTTCACGAGAAACTATTTTGTTTTCAGGACAAACAGAGGAAAATTATCCCCTACAGTGAAAGAGTGACCTTGATGCTGTCGAAAGAAGCATCAAGGGCACATATAGAATGGGAAACTGTGAGTCCTAGACTAATAAGAGCATCATTTACAACAGTGAAACATGTGTTAATGATAAGCATGCATCAGCTAAAGAAGAATTTTACATGCAATTTCAAGATAATGTAAAAAATGAAAGAAATGGCAATATACAAATTTTGATGGGCGACCAGAATGCTAAGATAAGATCAGATAACACAGGTTAGGAAGAGATTATGGGAAAACATGGACTAGGAGTAATGACTGAAAATGAAGAATTATTCACCAGTTTTTGTGCTGGAAACCAGTGTGTAATTGGTGGAAGCATCTTCCCACATAAAAGTATACACAAGGCTACATTGGAATCACCAGACCATAAGACAACGAATCAAATAGATGCCATATGTATTAACAAAAAGTTTAAATAATCCTTTTATGATGTAAGGGCTTTCAGATGTGACTATCATCTATCTATATATATATATATATACACACACACACACACGCACACACACACACACACTAACCACTTTCTGTTGGTAAGTAAAATCAAGTTGCAACTTAAAAGATATATAACATCTTATAATCATAGAACCCAAGATAATGTAGATTCAGAGATAAAAAGCTGAAGTTCTGAAACAAGACTAAAGTCCAGAAGTGGGCAGACAACCAGAAATTTCTGCTTGTCTACAGCAAGTGAACGTGAAGAAGAAGAATGAAGGATAGTTTCTGTATTACCTGTGATCGTCACAAGGTAGCTTGATTGGTTACCCTGCAGCAATAAGAACATGGCATTTATCATCTAAAATGTGAATGTTGATGACATTTTTTTTTTTTTTTTCTGATTTGTATCCTCAGGTACAGTGAAAGTTCTGTAACAAAAGATCAGTCGTAAGTTGTAACTGATAAATACATGATTATTGAAATGGACTCATGCACGTCCATGCTATTTGATGTACACATGCATGTATGCACAGAGAAAGAGATAATTTTATTAATATATTGCGTAATTCAAATACATTTAGAGAAGTTGTTTTCTAGCTGGGTGTTGCAGGGAAGTTTCAAGGGGATGTCAAGCAGTCTTTAAATTGAGTGCATTTGTATTTGAAATAATCAGTTGTACTAACATTTGTTTCAGTTAAATATATAAATAAAATAGTTTGTAAAACTGTTTTTAAAAAAAAGGAGGGAAAAAGGGGGGTTGGGGGGGTCTGGTCATATATTCAAGGGCGCACAACCTGAAACAAGGTTGAAAAGTCAGAGTGCATCTGCTTGAGAGAGAGGCAAGGAACCAACAATCTGCATACAGTTAAGTCAGATCTGTTAAATGGATGTGCAGGTAACACTCTGGCTCTGGAAAAAAGACTAAAGTCCACAGGTGGACAATCAATCAAAATTTTCCACTGGAGTTTACAGTCAGTGAGCGAAGAAGAAGAAGAATGAAAGATGTAACAGTTATTATGAATACTTACACTGTGAAGCTTGAGGATGGAAAGTAAGGATCACTTCGGATGGATTGCAGTGTCATTCTCATGAAAACATATTCTTCTTGTGTGACAAAACCATGAGTACAAGACAAATGAAATTGTGTGGTGCAAATTAGCAGAATACATGGAATTGAAATGTATCCTGGTGGGAGAAAAAAAAGTGGACAAGAGAGACGGACAGAGAACTGTGTGGCTTTAAATCGTGAACTATCTGGGCAATAAATAGTATAAGTAACAACCTAATTAAACTGCAGAGAATGGAGAGTGAGAAGCACAAAAAAAATAATTCATATTTTGTTTTAAATCACAACTAATGAAGGTGAACCTCCGGAGCATTAAGAGAGAATGACAGATACCAGAGAGGTAGAAAATCTATTGAATAAAGAGTTGAATAGAAGTTGGTCATGCAGCCGACCAAGAAGATGATAGAGAGATAATATACAGACATATCTACATATCAAAAAGATGTATGGAGGCAGGTGATAACTGCAGCAGTGAACCTGAAGGACTTTGAATGCTGAAGAAAAAAAAAAAGAACTATAACTTCATCAAAATATTAGATGACAGAGATGACTGGAGAAGCAGGATCATCAGACATCTTCTTCAGTCTATAGACACCTGAGGGGAAACAAATGTAAGACAGTAGAAGCTGATGGTTGATACTGCTGTGATGTTTTTGAATTTTGCTTAAAATGCAGTATTTGGTAATTAATTAATTTGTATTCTTAAGTTGTAAATTGAAAATGTATTAACTACCTCATTTATAAATTTATAGAAAGTAATGAAGTAATTGTGCTTTCTGTTGACATTTTACAGTGGTTTGGAAGCTTATGAACGTTTTAGATCTCTCACAGCTCAGAAGGAGTAAGTAACTTTATTGATTCTACCTGTGAATAAAGAAATTAATGTTATCTAGAACTGGTCAAGGTAATGCCACAACAGATGCTGCTGCTAACTCTTGAATGTTAAATTAAGAATGGACACTACAGCACTCAGGACACTCCCATAAGTGCTCAGTCCACATCTTCAGCTGCAAGCAACTAGTTCCAATTCTGATGGTACCAGTAACCGTCTGATTGTATATCCGTCTCATCCTTCCCCTGAGTGTTGAGGGTCGGCCAAATTCCCTGTTAACTCCTTGCAGCGCCATAATGCTGCTGCATGAGTATAATGTGTTAGATCTGTCTATACTAGACTACAGAATAATACAGTACATGTACTAGCTCTATCTCTGGTCACATTACCACGTCAGAAAACTGTGTGCATTTCTTCAAGCTGGGATAACCCTAAAGCAATGTGGTTCGTATAAAATATCCTTTTTCTTCTTCTTAGCATTCACTTCTGTAAACTCTGGTGGAAAGTTCTGGTTTGTTTATCCACCTTCAGACTTTTATTTTTTTTCCAGAACTTATGTTTTGCATGCATATAAATTTATCAGAATTGGCTTGTTTGTATGCAGCCTGTTGGTTCCTCGCCTCTCAGATTTGTAAGGAAACATGCCTAATTTGTCACCTTTTATGACATGCTTTTGGGGTGGAAAAGGGGGGGAGATGTGTATCTTTTCTGTTTTCCCTTACAATAAATGTTCTGCTCGTTGTACGGGTCATTGGTCATGCTGTATCTGCAGTCATGTCACATGAATGAAGCATATCCCTGTCTCCAGGCTAAAGTGGGGGACCTGTAACTTCTTCAGTTGCCTCTGCAAAACATTCAGTACCGATTAAGTATGAAATCTCAGGCTACTGCGTTGGTAAGCAGTCATCAGCCATTATGCTTTTATGTTTCAGTATGGATACAAACCTTTTTCTTCAGGTGCCTGGCCTGTATAGGAATAAACTCATAAACTCACAGGGAGCAAGTACAGCAGGGATCTACCAGTCATCAGTAGAAGTTATCCTCGTCGACAAACGTTTCGGCTCACGATCTCCTAGACGATTTCAGAGGTGGGCCCACCTGAGTTCATGAAGCTCAGGGCTGGTACCCTGCTGCACATTATTACCGGATGGTATTTTCTTTTGGATAGTGACAAGACGACTTGGTGATTTGCAGAAGGTACTGTGAGATAAGAAGTCATCGCGGTAGCCTAATTAGAGCAGTCTGCATACCTGGACGACCGAGTGACAAGCTTACAATTGGTATACCTGACACATGTTGGACTTTTGTTAGCAGGTGGCAGAGGATCACTGGCAGACAATTCGGACACGATGGACTTTCAAGGGGTGAGAAACCCTTTTCCACTAGAAACCCGGACCAGCTCACCGAGGCCCGTCCCCTACGTTGTTTCGTTGCGTCCAAAGCCAGCTAGATGCTCTCTCGGCTACCTCGCCTAGCCGTTTGAGTGTTCGTTTCCATTCATTACCGCGCAATCCTAGTTCTTTAACCACATTGTAGAGTGAAGTGGAGACGAGACCTCTCGCTCCCACTTCGACGGCAAAGACACGTACTGTGTACGCTTCGTTTCTCCTCAGACCGGCTGCTAAATCACCGTATTTCTCGAGCTTGTACAGGTGACTTTCGTCCAAACGCGACTCATACGGGACGGTCAGCTCAATCAGGATGAGCTGCCGTTTCTCCGCCGAGTGGAGAACTATGTCAGGTCGCAGGCCGGTCTTCCGGATTAACTCAGGGTACCTTTCATGGCCCGGCAGATCAACCGCCAGTAACCAGTCCCTCGCAGAGTCTAGCACAGATGGAGCGAATGCGTCTCGGTTGACCTTACCTTTTTGAATCTGCCCAGCCTTGAGGAAACGAATGGTAACGATGGTAGAACTGGCTCTAGCATTAGCCCTCATTCTAGCCTGGTCAACCACGGCTGCTAACTCTTTTAGCACCTTGTTGTGTCGCCAGGTATATCGGCCTTGGCCTAGGGCTTTCCTGCACGCGGACAGGACGTGTTCTAGCGTCTGCTTCGCTTTACACAGCGGGCAAGTCGGATCGTTAGTCGCAGACCACTTAACCATGTTAACACCGGACGGTAATACATCGTATGCCGAACGAACGATAAAGCTCAGTCGCAGCGGGGTCATTCGTCAGATCTCACCCCATGTAAGTACTCTTGGCAGTGCACTCTCCAGGCTGACCCAATGGCCCTGCTGCGACTGCTGGGCTGCTTTCTGGACCCGAACCTTGTTTTCGTTGTCCCTCACCTGTTGTATTACCATGTCTCGGCGTTCTTTGGCAGTGGCCTTAGACCACCAATTGACCTTCCCGTGACCTAGGCCTCGACGGTCGGTTTGAGTGTATCCCAATATTTCCTTCAATTTTAGTGCATTCTGCGCAGATTCGATCACATCAAGGCTCTCCACTTCTGACCAGTCTTGAGAGCGGGCTGGACAGCGATGACATTTGGGTCTGAAGACTCACGCAAGAGCATGGCGAGTCTTACTTTGCCAACTTTGAACTCTTCGGTTATTGATTTGAACGGGTGTACCAGCTCAGCCTGCTTGCAATACAGAGCCACGTCAGTCAGACAAGGCGGTGCACCAATCCATTTTCTCAAGGCTGTGAAACAAATATAGGTTTCTTTTCTGTCATTCCTGACCTGATTTGAAGCACAATTTCAATGGGGTTTCTATTGGGCTCTCTTTCACCTCTCCAAACTCAGAAACGAGCAGTCTGGCTTTTGAAGATGTAACTGTGTCACAGTTTGGCACTTCACTTAAGGACTGGCTAGGATTAAGTCTAATTTGGTAATGTTTGTCAACAAACCCTAACCAAATGTCCAGAATGAAGAGAGAAAAAATATTAAAAGTTCAGGTCAGACCCTTATTTTGAGAACCACTGATTGATGTTGTTCAGATACTCATGGTCCACTGTTCTTATACTGTAATAATAATAACAGTTTAATGTGGAAACAATTCTACAAGTTTTCTTAATTGGCAATAGACATTCAGTTTTCAGCGCATGAAATACATGTATTAACCTAGTTGTCTTGCATTGCAGGAAAATATAAATTTACCACTCATGTTTCTTTTTGTTTCTTGACAATTGAAAACAAGGCTGAATTTGCTGATTGTTGGCACTGATTTATGTGAAGTGAACATATTTTCCTTATGGAGCATTCCCCACCTGTGTCATAGATTTGTCCTCTGAGAATATCATAGGGGTTTGTATCTTTTTTTTATTATTAACAGTCGTTTGTGTGTGTGTGTGTGCATTATTATGAACACTTTTGAAAGATAGTTAGATGTTTCTTTGCTCAGAACTTTGATCAAATTTTTTTTTTTTTTTAATTTTGTATTTTTCTTCATAGACTGCAGCCAGAAGTTTGTTTAATACCAAGTAAGTCAAGAAGATAAAAATGGTGAAAATATGGGGGTGACTGCAGTCAAGTTACTACAAGGAATTCCAGAGAAATTTGAATAAAAAGCTCAACAAAATGAGGAAGCAGAAAAAATGTGCACAAAACAACACAAATAACATAATGTTTCGGCTGGGCAGCCTTTGTCAGTCTACACAAACGAGGAGAGGAAAGTATACAGATCTCTAAGAGGTGACCTGAGCAACGTTTTTAAAAAAAAAAGTGATGTAGAATAAATGAAATAAAATAAAATGATGGCTAAAAAATATAGTCACAAAATATAAAAAGTAATATTTTAAAATATAATATAATAGTGGGAATAAAAGAAATACAAATGTTAATGATACATAAATGATATTGATAAGAGTATGAAATAAAATAAAATAAAATTAAATAATATAATTAACATTTAAAATGTGAAAAGAGTAAAACTGTTTAGATGAAGGTATGCTGGATATTAATACCACCTGGACTTATAACGCCAAGGCTGTGGATGAGGCGATTTTCCAAAGCTAGGCGCGTAGTATGAACACCAGAGTCAGATTTTAATGCTGTGACGGATATATTATCTTTACCTCTGTGGTCAGAGCTGTTAAAATGGAGAGGGATTGGTTTAAGTGTCTTCTTGTCTTCTGATCGTTTCCGGAAACACCTCTCCGATATTGGCAAGAAGACACTTAAATCAGTCACCCACTCCCTTTTTATGGCTTCTTTCCCAAAATCATCTCTAAACATATGTATCCAAATATTGGAGGGATACTGATTTCTGAGTGCATACTGTGAAAAAAACTCTTTGTTTTGACTCAGTTTATTCTTTGTTGGAGATTATTCCTGCGACTTCCACAATTTTTAATGGATTAGAAAAGACAGTTAACCCATACTTCTGGTGCCAGAGCTTCACATATCATTATGTCAGTTTTTTTTTAATATTTTGTAAAGTTTCTCTTGTAAAATGATTTATACTTTTTCTTGATATTTTTTCCTTCATGAAATCTATCGTTAATGGGACGGTTTGGAAGCCTCTTCAACTTTCAAAATTACCATAAGGGATTTTTATTGTCTGTGGGGGTACTTCTCGTTGTGTATTATTCATAAGCCCATAATTTGAACCCATCCTCGAGCATCCCCCCCCCCTAATTTGCAGAGAGATGTCAGGTTAAAACATTTGTTAAGTTCACCTAAATATCCACAAACAAAGTAGGTAACTTTTCATTTACAATTTTGTTGGGCTGGTCGACTTTCCTGAAGGTTACAGGTGTGTCCTGTGCTATTGTTTGCTTTCTGTGTTGTCTTGCATTTACATTTTCATTCCGAGAAAGAAAATGCCTGTGACATAGGTTGCTGCACTCTCTAGGGGGTTGTATTAGAGCTAGTTTCTCCATGTTTTTGGAGCGTTAAAAGCGCTGGCGGGCTGTAATATACAACATGCTATATCACCGGCATTGCGGAAGACCCCCCGTAACCTTGTGCCAAAGTCACAGGTTCAGGAACTACCAATCAGAAGTGAGCTAGTGTGTATAATGGACGGGGCATGGGGAGATTACGTGTTGCTTTCAACATACTAATCTAATTTCGTCCTTTTTAGGATGAAATTTTGTGTTATTTGAAGCCCCATCCTGGCTTTTGCCAGGGGCCGCAATATAGGCAGGCCGTAAATATGGCCAATTGTCTGAACGCGGTTTCTGGGACCTCTTCACAGCGATCCTCATCAACATAGTGGCACTTTGTGTCATCGGATGTTTATCGCTTGTGTGATGTCCTAGTGGGGTAGAAAGTTAGTCAGTCAGATTACGTGTACCAAAACTGGCTCAACAATCACCCACACTGGGTTACTTTGTAACAGTTTTTTGGTGCCCCAGTATAACTGCTATATGGGCTGTAATATTGAACGGGGTTTCCTGGTTATTTCCTGGTTATTTCCTGGTTATTTCTATGTTTGATTCTTAGCCTTGAGATGTTAATTCTATGGATTGCGTTTTTTTTTTTAAAGAAAAACAAAACAATTGAGATACAATTTGGTGCAATGAAATGGATCCTCTTACCTTTGCAAATGTTTTCCTCACTGAAAACTGATGATACAATATTGATAATACCATATCTAGTTTCAGATTTTCATGTAACACTTTCTCTGAAAATAATTCTTTATTTATACACCAGCGCCAGATTATACATTCAGCCATCATATCCCCTGATCTTAGCTCTCTTGCTGCGATAATAAAAATGGTCAAAGCAGATTGCACGGAATTTGTTGTCAAAACTGTAAGTAGGAATACTGAGTCGATACTCTCACTAACTTCCTTCCTGACACTATTATTTATGTGCTACTGTTTTTGTGTCTTTTGTTTCTGAATATTAATTTTTGGTTAATAATTTCACATTTTTATTTGTTATTGTATTACTTTTCTTTATAGAAATTATTTATTTTTTGTGTTATAACAGTAACAAAGTGAAAATGTCTAATAATATGAAGTTTTTCAGCTACTGCTTTATCACTGATTAGCAATAATTTATTTTGGAGAATTTGATGACTGTCTTATCTTGTAACACCAAGATCACAATTTGATTTGTATATATGTATATGTGTATATATATATATATAGGCTATCCTCCGAATAACGGGCACAAAAGATGGCGGCCGCAAAAACACCTTAACAGAGCCTCAGTCATGTGTCAATTACGCACTTCCGGCGACTTAATTTGCGGTTTTCCGGCGACTACTGCCATCACCGAGAGTATCCCCCATGCCGCTCACGCGGTGTGGATTGGGGCTAAACTAGATGGCTGGGACTCACGGGCAGCAGCTTCCACATCTCCTGCAGCTTTTCTGATGAGAGCTAATTGACTGCAATGTTTGGAAAACAGTAGATAACAGATACACAAATATTTGAGCACAAAAGAACTAAATGAGCATAGATCACAAGGCAGTCCAAGAAGATGGTGGCAAGATAAAGATAAAGTACAGACAGAAGTGCAAATGCATGGAGTTACCAACTGAAAGGAGAAGGCAGATCACTTTCTTTTACCTCCTTGTTTCATCTCTCAATGGAGCAGAAGTCCTCATTCAACCTGCACCAAACTCTTTGTAGCGTTTTTCATTGTTCATTGTTCTTTTTTGACGCACATCGGACATGACCATAGGTGCTCTGATCTCCTCCTGAGTGTGTCCGCGTTTTTAGGCTAACAACTGCCATTCTATTTTCAAGTATGGTTTCATTTTAAAATGTTATGCTGGTTGAGGTATTTATACTTCCCCTTCTTGTAGTCCATGCCATGTGTCTTTGGTAGTCATGTCTATCCATAGCTTTATGTCTAAGGTCTTCTGTTAAATAATGTTAAACTGTCCAGCATCTTCTCTCTCCGTCTCCCTCTGTCTTGTTTTCAAAATGAACTCCTGTTTGCTCCTTTTCATGACTGACCCAAAAATGTTACGTGTCTCATTCTGATGTGAGCAGTCAGTCCTTAGCCACATTTTATGACATGCAAGGTAGACTAAGTCGCCGTATCGGAACGGCTAGACTCTCGCCTATGGATCGGAAGGTTGTGGGTGTGTTCCCTGGCGGAGCCATACTTTTTTTTTTTTTTAAATGACCTTGGCTCCGAGGTCTACCTAGCCTTGAATGAGTACCGGGTGCAGTCCTGGGAAGCAAAGGCGGCCGACGTTATGCTGACCACATCACCTATCTTGTGCCGATTGATCTATAAAATATAGGTCTATATATGCCCTATACGCCTAGAGGTGTGGAAAAGGGTCCTGAACTTTTTATTTTTTATTTTTTATACATTTGCAAGGTAGACTATTCTGTACTTTATTCAGGGTCTCAGTAACACACACTCACACATGTATGCCATTAAGTGATTTCCATATATTCTAATGACTATTTTATCAATAATTTTGTGTATATTTCATCACTTTTTTGTTTGTGTACATTTTCTAGTATGAAACGTCACTACTTTTAGCGCGTCATGAAGAGATTAGACTACTGGCATCAAAGTATGTTATGATTGCATCAGCACAGATGGTAAGTAATTGTTCATACTCTCCGTGTGGGTTTCAGAGCCCTGTTATAGGCAAAACAAGAATAGACCCACTGCTTACCCAAAAGCATGTTGTAAGAGTTGACTAATTGGGAGCTTCCTTCGAAGTCAGATTGCATCTGCCTGAAAGGCAAGGAACCAGCAGTCTGCATACAAATTAGTCAGATCTGTCAAACGGTTTCACACGCAACACTCAGGTTCTGGAATAGGAGGATTGCTGCCCAGAAGTGGACGAACAACCAGAACTTTCTGCCGGAGTTTACAGCCGGTGAACGCGAAGAAGAAAAAAGAAGAATTGTATATTTTAATCAAATGCAGATTATCAGATGAATAGTAAATGTAAGTAGAGGACCCTTTTCCACATCTTCCAGGGTATTGGACATATAGGGCTAGGCCTATATTTTAAAGACCAGTTGACAAACGGTGGGTGATGTGGTCGACATCACACCAGCCACCTTTACTTCCAAGGACTAAAACTGGTAACCTTTTAAGAATGGAAATGTATAGTAAAACAGGATCTTTTTCGCACCATTGATACATTATACTTTAGGTGCTTGTATCATTTTTTGATAGACCCATTAGCACTTAAGTTATGCAGTAAAAATCACACCAGCCGCCTTTACTTCCCTGAACATTTTTGTTCTAAGGTCTGTCCTCACACAAAAATCCATGTCTGTAAACAATGTATGAAACAATTAGCACAGATTCAGAAACATGGGATAGAGTTGCAGCAGACAAAATTTGAGTCTTTTCTGAC